ATAACAAGTATTTATACAATCTTTCCGGGTGTCAAGAATGACTACATGAATAACATGTAACTTTTGGGTAAATGTTAGTATGTCCACATCATACCTCTTCCTACTTTCCTACAATCATTTAATTCATATACTTTTTATATACTCTGAGAATTCTAAGGTGATTTCCTATACTCTCTCTCTGCCTTAAAAAGAAAACAGAAAAAAGCCCCCTTAGCTAATAAAATCAAGGGAGATAGTTACTTTCTTCCTGCTGATGGACTGATTTATTGATTTAATTCATTTTTTGATACAGGGTCTTGCTTTGTCTTCCAGGCTAGAGTACAGTGACAAGATCATAGCTCACTGCAGCCTCTAACTTCTGAGCTCAAGTGACCCTCAGCCTTCTGAATAGCTAGGTCTACAGGCATGCAACAACACACCTGGCTAATTTTTAAAATTTTTTTGTAGAGACGGGGTCTTGCTATATGGCTCAGGCTGGTCTCGAACTCCTGGCCTCAAGTGATCCTCTCACCTCAGCCACACAGGCATTCTCACTGATTTATGAAAGATTGCTTTATATAGTATAATTACAAAACATGGTCTGTTTCATAGAAAGGATACAGGTTTGTGTACACACCAGCATTGCAACATGTAATTAAGTTAAACTGTAATCTCTTTGATGAGTAGTAGCCCATAGATTGCTACACAAAATATAAGTGATTTTGACTAAAAAAATACACATCGTTTAATAAGGATTCCTTTAAAAAGTAATTATAATACAAAATTTTGGCCATGTTTAAATTTCAGTTATAGGTACAAAATTTGGGGGTTTGCTTGACTAAATTTTAGCCATTGAAGCAGTCAGTCATCCACATATATCCTTCAGATCAACTCCCACTAGGGAAAGCAAGCCGCTAAGAGTCCATGGCAATGCTTCAAACCGCAATGAGTCAAGGCAGTTTTTTATATTATTTGACCAGTGCTCCAGGTCATTGTAATTTCATGAATAGTAATCCTATTTAAAAATATGTTGCAGGTGCAAGGTGCCTGCTGGGAGAGAGCAGCTATGCACGACCAGATCAATATGCATTGTGTGCTTTCAACCATTCAATAATCGATTCACCCTTGTTATGAGAAAATAAATGCCAAAGTCCCCAAAGTTAATTTCTGAAGAAAGCATTTACAAGGCTACCAGATTATTAAAAGTTTCCATGGGTTTTGGATAAAGAAAATGTGGCACATATATGCCATGGAATACTATGCAGCAATAAAAAAGGATGAGTTCATGTCCTTTGCAGGGACATGGATGAAGCTGGAAACCATCATTCTCAGCAAAGAACAGAAAACCAAACACTGCATATTCTCATTCATAAGTGGGTGTGGAACAATGAGAACACGTAGACACGGTTTTATGAAGGACTGAATCTGTGCAGCATAATCGCAAACATTAAATTGGCATATAAAAGCATTCCAGGCTAAAATCTCTGTTGTCCATGTTTTGCTGCTTTTATAGCAGTATTCTTACCAGGCTGTAATTCTTTCAGGGAACCTTAAACACTATCTTTCATTAAACTGGATTTCAGAGGACTGTCTATGCATTGTGCACCCCATTTTTCTGTCAGCCAGCTAAGCTCTCAGTGCATCATATTGCCACATCAATTAGTTTTGCGGATTAGAAATCAAACCAGAGAGCTATACACATCAGAGCACCAAATGTAATGCATGACACTTACTCACCTGACTTCAGTCAAGATAATGTGAGATAATGTGAGTGGTAGACGGGATTCATTTTCTTGGATCCCAATCACATTGCCATTAACAGAAAATGATTAAAAGTTCATGTCAGTGAGTGAATATACTTGCTCACTGAAGTTACTAAACTTAACTTTCTCAAATCTTCTTTCTTAGAAGGTTACTACATAAATTTAAATGGCATAGAACCTATAAATAAAGATGAACACGTTTAGGGTTTCACCTGATTCATAACAAACCCACTCTGATGTTAAAACAGTCCAAAACCACTCAAGCTAGTGATCTAGGCAGCTTTAGGAAAATTAATATTTTGGCACTTGCTCATCTGCCATCAAGTTCAATCAGG